CGATCACCAAAATACCTCAATTACTCAAATAGTACCCTAGCATGAAATTTTATTTACACAAAATGTGGGGTGGGGGATACATGCATAATCAATGAATATATATACAGTGTTCGATTCGATATATATATATATATATATATATATATATATATATATATATAGTGCTGTTCGATAAAAGTGACTCACCTGATATTTTTACTTAAAAATTTTTTCGCCTATTGTTTTTGGGGTCAAACTAATTTTTAATCTTACTAATATAAAGACCCCTTCCCGACCACCTAGTAAAAAAGTTTACACACCCTAAGGTATTCTATTGATAATCATAATCTTGAATATAAATGAGATTTAGGGAAAAACTCTGTGCAAAAAAAGTGACTCACTTATTTCCTGCAACTAGTAATCAATAGAAACATAACCGAACAGCTTTAAATAAAGAATAATAGAGGTATAATTTATTTATAATAGGTAATATAGTTCGAAATATTTAATAATCTATGGGTTCTCCTTTATTTTGAATAACCTTTTCAACCTTTTTTGACATTGACTTGATTAGGTTCTGGCAAACCTCATCTCCAAGCATTGAATTCCATTCGGATATGAAATTCACAATCAAATCCTCTTTGTTGCTCAACTGCTTTATAATGCTCCAAAAGTTTTCTATGGGGTTGAGGTCAGGAGATTGGGGCGGCCATGTCATAACACTCACCTGCTTCTTATCAAATTATTCCTTCATCAATTTTGATTTGTGACAGGGAACATTATCCTGCATAAAAATGAGCTTGGTGTGGTCGATTTGCACCCTTTCAGCAGAAGTGAGCAGACAAGACTCTAAAATTCTCTTGTACTGCTCGCTCCTGAGGGTCTTTTCAATAGGTTTTAAGAAACCAGTTCCATGAAAAGAAAAGCATCCCCAGAACATTATACTGAACGGATGCTTGACAGTACTTACTGCTAAATTCAAAGAGCTTTCCAAGCTTCTTCTTCGGATTTTAGATCGCTTATCCTTTGAATTTAGCCCAACTTTCGTTTCATCGGAGAAGAGAACATTTAGTAAAAAAAAAATCAGTCACTTTTATCGAACAGCACTTACAATGAATGAAATATATGTACAAAAATAAATATGTGTTAGTATCGGGTCCCACCCTAAAGTGAAGGCGTGGCAGAAATCCTGGTTAACTGGGTAAAATGGCCAGATATTGGACGTATCTGTCACCTAAATGTTGGGGGAGAAGGGAGTTCAAAATAAATGCTGAACAAAAAAAGGAGATCTATACACGTGCATACCCTAACTAGTTATGACAAAATCGGTCAAATACAAAAAATCTATCTTACCATAACCGGGTCTGGGGTGACTATTGTTTCGATGAGCGACCCAAAATCTTCTTTCCTATGTCGCGTCTAACAACCACTCAAGGTCAGCACCTCTCACACGCACCAGTTGCGAAACTCTTACCCAACATTTGCCGAATATCGACGAAGAGAGACGCACCTTTTCAGCCCTGATCTTAACTTTAAGCTGATGCTTAAAGAGAGAGACCAGTTGAGAAGAGGAGACCTTCTCGCCTCCGTGAAACCCTTTCTGTCTCGTCGTCCATAAAACCATTCGCGTGATGCCGAGCAGACACAAGAACACGTCCTGCTGGTCTCTTGACATTGGCGGCACCACGTTGGCAAAAACGGTGCTGGCGTCCAGGACGAAAAACTTTCCACCCAACATGCGGACCATGTAGCCTTTATTCAGGCCTGCACAACAGGTGTACGACACAAGGCGTGCGCAATGAACTCCTCCCAGTCACTGCAGCGCACGCACTCTGGCGTGGCTGACAGCCCCGCTGCGTAAAGTTTCTTTTGATTTTCTAAGCACAGCTTAGATGTGGCACAACGACGAAAGTATAGGGCAACCAGTGAGGATTGAACTCACTATTCAGTTGTAACAATTCTAGCATGACAAGCTCGCTAACTGTTGTGGTAGGATCCACCTAATTTGCATAGTCGAGTACCGACCATATAAATATGGTTGGTACCGGGAAGAGAGGGAGGAATCAAGAGAGTCACTCCATCGAACTCTCTGCATTTTGCAGTGAGGGACCTGGACGAGGCTTGCCGAGAGGCAGGGTTTCGTCCGGGTGGTAGACAGGCCTTGAACACGTCTAGGCGGGTTCAGAAAGGGGCCATATTTTGGCCGAGCCTACGGGCTCGGAGATACCCCACTTTAAAACCGGCCTTGTGCCACATTTTATCCTCGTGGGTGGATAGATAAATACAGAATCAAGAGATTCAACCAGAGACTCTGCCCGACTGCGAGTCAGTCAACACATTCTCCAGGAACGGTCTTACCAGGAATATACAAAAGACTATATGTAAATATTGTGTACACTTTCTTGTTTCAATACATTTTGTTCCAAGTACATTTTGTGTTGCATTATTATTCCATGCATTAGTCAAGTTTCAACACTAACCATTACACCACGTCAAGGTACCCCTTGATCCTAGGCATTATACCCGCGGGTGTCTTTTGTGGGAATTTAATTATGGGATTGCTGACGGAATACAACAGTCCGTAGCTGCATTAATCCACTACAGATATCTAAATCCTAGCGAAACATTCACAGCTGAGACGTACTGCCACAGTATCGATTAAATGTATACCAAATTGCAGCATATGTGTCCAGCATTGATCAGGAGAAAATGTGAAATCCTCTTGCATGACAATGCAACCACATGTTGCACATCTTTCATGACAATGCAGCCACACGTCGCACAAGCAACACTTCAGAAGTTGAATGACTTAAGCTAAAAAAAACTGAGCACAATTCACCAACTGACTACCACCTTTTCAAGCATTTTGAAAAATTCTTTCAAGGAAATGTCAACCAAACAACTACAAAAAATACCTTCGAAAACTTCGACGCTGACACAACTCACGAATGTTATGCTACCGAAATAATTAAATTAGTTTCGTGTTGGCAAATGGTGCCGTTTGTAATGATTTTTATTTCGACCAATAAAGTTTATTCTGGACTGAGATATGCCATTTTAAAGTTAATACTTAACAATCTACATTAATTTCCTGAACAGCACAATTAAAAACAAAACTTCCTGATCTGGCATTTCGACATCAGTCACTTTCTCACCGATGACTTGCCTCTGTCTTTTCTACAAATATTTTCACGGCAATTGTTCCGTTGAGCTTGGT